GAGAACCAGGCTTATTGACTTGGAATTGACGACAATTAAGAGGCTAATCACCAGGAAAAGAAACTAGCAATATCCCTCAAATCTATGTATTAAGCTCCCTAATGTACATGATGGAATCTCACAAATCATATAACTTAATCAAGCATAATTTTTTACACTAATTTTTCCTCTGCCACAACATAAGAAGTTAACTGCTGGGATAGCGCACCGTACATCAATTCTTGATTGGAACTTTGGTGCTCATCCTACAAATAGCTCTGATTTTTAACTCTATCCAGTAACCATGGAGACTTCGTGTCAATAACAGTGGAAAGGTACACAACTTTGTGATATTCAACAAGACATGTTAAATGATAGGCGATAATGAAACAAATAAATATCTGTCTCATCTTTTTGTGCTCATCCATATCACCTAAATAAACATGCAAATGAGCTCCGCCAAACACCTGCACGCACAAGCAACACGGGGACATTCTAGACCTGGGAATCCAATTAACCAAACAAATGTCTTGAAGAATGCATATAACCAGCAAAAGTTTACAAAAAGTACCATACCCTTTGAAATCAATACCAGATGAACACATCATATAAAAAATTGCAAATGAGAGCGAATCTGATGAGAAAGCCGTGATACAGGATGACAGAACATGGATAATACGTATTTTTGTTTTACAAAACGTATATTGACAAGTACAAAAACCTACCTGCTAAAATTATTCTTGTAGGTCACAATCTGACTTCTTCCCTTGAAATATGCTGGTGTAAACTAAGATTATAATGCGTTTTCAATTGCACTTCATCTCACACAGATCAAGGCTCAACATACTACGGTTGGGTTGTCTTGCCTAAGAACTCGAGACCCTCCGTACGGCAACTCATAATCTTCCGAAATACCTCCCTTAATTGGCGTTCAAGTGGATCCAATTCACTCTTACAAACTTCACAAACTAATGATAACTCGCTTGCATACTCTTTCAGGTCTTCCTTCTGTTCCTCTCTCAGTGGGAACTGAGCAGAATCAACCAAGTCTGTTATCTGATGCACACACTTCTCTATTTGACAAATTTCCTTCAATAATCCACTAGAATTTCGGTGTTCTCGTTTCTTAGACTCGTCCATAATCCGACCATGAAGCAAGAAAAAAGGTGCACTCCATGAGAATTGTCGGGGGATTGCAAAAGGAATTTGGATACTACGGTCTTGACAAGGGATTACTGCGACAAGAGCCCATAAAATGAACATAAGAACAAAGCTCATAGTATAGATTATCATTGCCAAACCATTAGTAGCTGCAAGTTCATTTCCACGGGGCAGAGCCAAATTGTTTGCAATTGACTGGAGTTGCTTCGATGCAGACCAAGAATGAGACACACTCCAAGATAGTGATCTTGAGTGCCCTGATGAACGATGACGGTGATCCTTAACCTTATGGCGTCCAAACGACCGATTTCGATTTGAAAAAATACCTCCTGTATCTTTCTCATCTAGCATCACAAGTGCTAAATCCATCAAGGCTTTTCTTGCTCGACGAAATTGACCTTCACCTGTCATCCTTTGTCGATCATCCAAAGCACATGTAATGATATCTAAATGCTTCTGCCATAGTCGAATCTTCTCAATACCATCACGACTTGCATTGCAAATATCTAGTGCCTTAATTGCCCTGTCAAAGAATTCAGTAACAAGCCTATCAGCTGGTGGCTTTGAGAGCTGAGCTTTGTTGTTTGCCAATATAACCTTAAACTCCTCCTGACAGCTAATGAATGCATCTAAAAGCTTCTGAATCCATGATATGGAGAGAAGTTCCTCAGGACTAACTGCTGACAGATCCTTGAACAAGAAGAAAACATGTCTCTGAAATGAATCCACCTCATGAGCACTAGAATCATGGATTGCTTCCATGGAGTGAATATGATTGTCTCTAATACCCAAAATTGGGCGACGAAAAGAAGCAAAAGACAAAGAACTTTGATTAGCTGATGAAGGCATTTTCAGATAAAACGCCTTTGAACTCCTTAAGAAAGTGTTTTTTAATTAAGAAATATTGTAAACCCAGTCGTATTTAAACCAGATAAACCTTAATTCAGTATCAGGGAAACACCTTCAAAATCCAATAACCAACAGCTAGAAATTTACAAGCACCACTTTCTTTCTCAACTGAATTCCCAGATTAAAATCTGCAAAAAATTCATAAATTTCTCTATAAAAAATATCAAGTTTCAAATTTTCAACGAAATCCCAAATTATAAAAATTCACAACACCCCTTCAAATTGATTCCTTTCTTCATGAACAAAACATCCAATTATAATTAAATTGGTAGCTCAAGCAAACATAACCAAAACAGAACAGACTAATAAAAAAATCCACTAAAATCAACCAAATACAATCAGAATAATCACCAAATCTTAAAATTCACAGAACAAATATCAAGATTGTTGAAAAGCGTCAAAATCGAAGAATATTAGACAACATGCAAAACCCAGATCATGAATTGTCTCAAGAACAGATCTCTTGCAAAGGACTCCAAAAATTTACAGGAATCAAGGGTCTGATCCAATTGGAAATCATATATTTAAGAACTGCAATAAAGTGAAGAGAATTAAAGAAAGATTGTACCTTGATGAGTAATGTGTGTATTATATGTACATGAATAAATTTTAAAGGGAAAAATGGAAGATTTGAAGGGAGAAAAGAGGAAAGAAAACCAAGCTAAGGACCCGAAGCCCCTCGCCTTTGGTCTGACAAAAGTATAAGAGGTTCACAAAAAGATGAAGTGCATACAAGAAATATTGGTAAGAAGAGAGAGAAATACCTGTCATAACAAAATGTTTATTTTGCCCTTTTCTTCTTTTACTATTTTCCTTTTGATACATATACTTTTTCTTTTCTTCCATTTGCATCCTCTTACTTTATTTTCTATTTTTTTTGTTTTTCAAATTCATCTTTTTAAATATATCTTGAACGTTTCTAGTTTGTTGAGAACATTTTTCAAGGAAATATAGAATGACAAGAATGTCTAAAAGTTCAATTTTCGAATAAATCGTAGAAACTTGCTTTTCAAATTCTTTTTCTTTTCTTTTCTTCAATGTTCGGTTCTTTATTTTTAATTAACATTAAATCAACTTTTTGTGAGTGGTGCGGACCGATCAATAGAAATATTCCACCCTTTTCATATATTCATCAAATTCATCTTTTTAAATATATCTTGAACGTTTCTAGTTTGTTGAGAACATTTTTCAAGGAAATATAGAATGACAAGAATGTCTAAAAGTTCAATTTTCGAATAAATCGTAGAAACTTGCTTTTCAAATTCTTTTTCTTTTCTTTTCTTCAATGTTCGGTTCTTTATTTTTAATTAACATTAAATCAACTTTTTGTGAGTGGTGCGGACCGATCAATAGAAATATTCCACCCTTATCATATATTCAATGCATCACACTAATATCAATGAAAATCCATATAATCTGGGTTGGTTTTGGTCCTTTTTACATTTTAGAAAATATTAAGAATTTAATTTATTGTGTAAATTTTTAAATTTCATTTTTGTATTGGTACTGTTGTGCTTTTAAAATAATTAACGAAGAAAGAATTAGGAAAAATTATTTAAAAACTTGGTAAACATTTACTTTATAATTACCATACTTTTAAGCTTTGATAAATAAAAGAACTTTATTTGTAGGGACAACAATGGGTGGATATGAGACGAGTCGGCTATTTTCATTCCCGTCTTGTCGAGTATTTTTATCACTTTGTCCCGTCCCCATACCCAGTTATAGCGGGGCAGGTCTCTTACCTCATTTGTCGTCTCGTTTATTTTTTTGTTTTTGTTTTTGTATTTTGTATTTTGTATTTTTTGCTTTTATTTTACTTTTTGTCTTTAGTCAGTAAATGTTATTAATTTTTTCTCTCCATTTAGTTAGGAATAACTTATGTTCACTTTAAAAATAATGATAAATCTTTTTATTTTTATTTGATAAAAATTTAAATTTAATGTTAAAATGAGCAGATAGCAAAGCAAGAATTATGTTTCTCATTCTCGCTTCAGAGCAATGACCGCCACCCTGTCCCTGGTAATTCTCACCCTCTCAGTCGAGGCTGACTCATGGGTATCGTGTTAATCAGAATTTTTTGCCATTCCTATTTATTTGTATGAGTGTATATTACAAATATTAAAATTGACAAAGATTATAATGATATATATTTTTATTTGTATAATTAAGTTTTTGTTTAAGACAATATAATATTACAATAAAATATCTATTAAATCTCAAAATTTACAAAATTGAAATTTTAATAAAAATTAAAATGAATTTATTTTATCTTCCTAGACTTGCATTTGATTCTTCAATTTCTCCACTTTCATAAAATAGAAAAATTATATCAAATAAATTTTAAATTATTCATCAATGGGAAGAATGAAGAATCGTTCAATTAGTAGATAGAAGTATGGTGCAAGGATTTTAGATAATTTCCCATTTCACGTTCCAAGGGAGGGTTAAAACAATATTTAGCTAAAATTTATTTTCTTTCCATGCAAATTTTATGTTTGCAATCAAACGCACCTTAAGAGGATTTGATCGACATTAAGATATGACATCCGAACATATGAGGACTTTGAATATGCTCGAGATTTCAATGACATGGCTGCAATTCGATGAATTTAATGTTAAAATGAGCAGATAGCAAAGCAAGAATTATGTTTCTCATTCTCGCTTCAGAGCAATGACCGCCACCCTGTCCCTGGTAATTCTCACCCTCTCATTCGAGGCTGACTCATGGGTATCGTGTTAATCAGAATTTTTTGCCATTCCTATTTATTTGTATGAGTGTATATTACAAATATTAAAATTGACAAAGATTATAATGATATATATTTTTATTTGTATAATTAAGTTTTTGTTTAAGACAATATAATATTACAATAAAATATCTATTAAATCTCAAAATTTACAAAATTGAAATTTTAATAAAAATTAAAATGAATTTATTTTATCTTCCTAGACTTGCATTTGATTCTTCAATTTCTCCACTTTCATAAAATAGAAAAATTATATCAAATAAATTTTAAATTATTCATCAATGGGAAGAATGAAGAATCGTTCAATTAGTAGATAGAAGTATGGTGCAAGGATTTTAGATAATTTCCCATTTCACGTTCCAAGGGAGGGTTAAAACAATATTTAGCTAGAATTTATTTTCTTTCCATGCAAATTTTATGTTTGCAATCAAACGCACCTTAAGAGGATTTGAACGACATTAAGATATGACATCCGAACATATGAGGACTTTGAATATGCTCGAGATTTCAATGACATGGCTGCAATTCGATGTAGAAATAAGAACTAAGAAAATGATAATAGAGTTGGAAATGAAGCCAGAAAAGCCAATGGTTTTTCCTTTTTTAGTTTTTTTTACAAGGTAGAAACCTTGCCAAGAGTACAAGGTTGAACAATTTCCATTTCTTGTGAAGGGGAGAATAAAATGCAATAACATAAAAATAAAGGCACTGAATTTAGACATTTAAGCATTTTGGTTGACAGATAGATACATTTTCTCTATTCACAAGCCAATTTGGTGTCGAAGCTACTTAAGCAGATCGCGAAAGCCTGAAAAGCAGACAGTGGATATCGGTAATCCATCGTGAACATATCTTGACCGACCTTGCCAAATTGGAGGATGACTTTATCATGGTCAGATTGGGTCGGCTGAGAAGCCGGTGCATCAGTAGTGGCAGCCGGTGGGTGTGTGGAGGCTATCAACTGAAAGTTCTTCACGGATGCAACTGTTACCCGTCCTCTAAAATTGAGGCACCAACATTGCAACTGTTCGTGCCATCTTGGTGCTTTGTTCTTGAGAATCAAGGGTCTTCCTTTACAGTCATTGTCCCCATTGCACACGCCGGCGATATCAGAAAACCGTGAGCTACTGAACTCGGCCGAGTGATCCAGAGATTTTGAGAGAGAAATGCTCCGGAACGAGTCCTCAAGGGATCTTGGCATGAGCTCAGGTTGTCCGGGTACCAAGCCTCCGGGGTCAAGTGCTGAGGCAGGTATTGAGTGCATGACGCAGTTCATCCTGCGCGGTCCCCGTGTCCCAAGCACGTTCAGTTCATACATGATTTGGGCTATGTTGTAAGTGCCGGTAGGCACTTTCGGAGACACTTTCTTGGAGTTGAATCTACGACTAGTTCTCCCAGGCAGAGGAATGTGTGAACAAGCATGAGGCGGCTGTGTATCATACATAATGAACTTCGTGCCGAGAAAATTTGATCTGCAACCAGCAGTAAGATTTAATAATGATAATCTAGAAAAGCTAAATCATTATTATTTAAGACCAATTCAAAAAGAGATTACAAAATAAAAGCACCAGTCTCTAACAGAAAGCATAAACTGAACATTTATACAATCAAGAACTTCGAAGAAAAAGCACGCTAACAAGGACCATAATTGATACCATGTCACAAGGAATAACTAGTCAGCTACACCTTATTTTTCTAGGACGTTAAGTTGAAACAGTATGCCACATATTTAGCAGCGAGTACTTGGGAATCGTATCTAAAGGGCCAGGTTACATAAATATGCAAGTACAGATTTTACTGAATCCATACCCTTTTTTGTACTTAAAAAAAATTGATAAGAAAGATGACCCACTATCAAGTTCATTTCCATGAAAACTTTTATGTATCTGGCTCTTGCCATTGACTCATTAGCTACATAATTTGACATAGATAAACTTTTGAAGAAATTATATTATAATAACCGACTTTTGAAAAGTCGATTGCTTCAATGTTGATTCTCATCCACCTAAAATTACCAATAATCACATTTAGCAAGTAAGCCAAGAAAGCATGAGAATTTCCATTGTCCTCTCGTTGCCTTCTAATGTTACTCTTGCGCATTCTTTTGCTCTAGTTCTCTATTTAATAAGTGCTTGTTAGATAAACTTAGCTACAATTTTATCAAGCTTTTTAACACGTCAAAATTCAATTTTAACCACACAAATCATGAGACCCGCAACTTTTATCAACTTTTCAACTTGACATTTCATCAACTTTTATCAAAATCTACTTAAATTTTAATCAAAAGCTTGGTCAAACAACCCCTAAATCTCATCCGTCTCTATGTTACATGAATTGATTATTTGTAACTAATTTATGTTTCTTCATGCCAGTCGATATCCCAGAAAGCATTCAAGGAGAGTCGAATATAATCTCAAATCATGGCGTCCAAGAGGAGGGTGGATATGGGAGATTGTGCACACATCTCTAGAGTTCAATGTTTGGTGTGTTTTGGCATGTACACAACAAATTCATGGCGTCCAAGAGGAGGGTGGATATGGGAGATTGTGCACACATCTCTAGAGTTCAATGTTTGATGTGTTTTGGCATGTACACAACAAATTCATGGCGTCCAAGAGGAGGGTGGATATGGGAGATTGTGCACACATCTCTAGAGTTCAATGTTTGATGTGTTTTGGCATGTACACAACAAATTCATGGCGTCCAAGAGGAGGGTGGATATGGGAGATTGTGCACACATCTCTAGAGTTCAATGTTTGATGTGTTTTGGCATGTACACAACAAATTCATGGAAGTGTAATCACGCTACGAATTATTTTTTTAAACACAATTATTTTATTCTTGCATTTGAGTAGTGTAAAGTTTCATTATATTTGGATGCATTCTCAAAAATATATAACATCACTAACAAAAGTATAAAACTTTATACAGTACAAGAAAAACAATCATTATTTTTCCAAATTAGATATTGACATGAAGTAATCACTCATAAGGAATTCCTATATGTAGAATATCAATTTTAAATTACTCGAGTATGCATCCCCATAATAAATTTGTTTCTCCAGCATATGTTCTCAAGACAAATAATAGAATTCCCAATAAATATTTATCTAACATAGAAGAAAGAATCACACGAAGATATATATATATATATATATATATACATATAACAGAATAAAGAAATTTATATTCAAAGTTACCTTAGTTTTCCAATGTATGTGCTGCTTGATCTGCAAATATTATCTGCACCCATTGAGATAACATACTCTGTACAAGTAGTTCGTCTAGTTCTTTTTGCAGAGAGAAGGAATTTTCCATTTTCTACAAGCAAAGCTGATAAAAGTAATTGCAAATAACATGAGAAGCAGGAAAAAAGGCACGGGTGAAGTTGTACAAACACTGAAAAGGTTCAGTTCATGATAGTATTCTTCTTCACAACGATGAAAAATGGAAGAATATATAAACAGCCAAAATAACCTTATAAAAAAGCTAACTGACATAATGAGCATAAGTACAAAATATTTGTGTATATTATCTATTCAATTATGTAAACCATTTATATGATAAGAATTTGCAACACAATTAGATCGTACATAATTAGCAGATATGGAAAACTAATACTTGTCAACAGCACATGAATATTAAAATGTAAAATTTGCAACCATGTTTCAACGAATTTGTTTTAAACTTCTAACCATGAATTGTTCTGTACTAAACCGACAGTGCTTAAAGTACTGATGATATTTTTGTTAACTTCACTCAACTACAGTCGATATCAAGGACAGGAATTTCCATAAAAAAAAAAGAGTAGCACCTTTGTGATATCGTCAGTAAAAAGTTGGAAATTCTCCCGATTAAATAATCTATTTAGAAAAGTAGCACTCACATTACTTGTGTATTGTTTCACGATAACAATACGACAGCCATTCTTTTGGCCAATTTCGTATTTCTACAGCACGGAAGATTTACTTCCTACATGTTTGTCTTGGACATTAAACTATATGACAATTGGGAAACCAACCTAACTTTTCTTTATTGGTTGGTAACATAATATCAGCAAAAACTTAGTAGCCAAACAAATGAAATTAGGAAAATAATAATAATAATAATAATAATCTTGCTTCTTAAGGAAGCACCTTCTCACATGATGCAAAATACACATACTTTTAAGTAATCAAATGGCAAGTGTTCATACCGCCATAGAGACATCCATTGGTACAATTAAATGATCAAGAAAGGATAGACCGACAATGAAGTACCATTTAAACACCTAATACTAAAAATACAAAATAGTGAATGGAGCATTCTAAGGATCTAGACAATACATACCAGGACTCAGACATAAGAAAAGATGGTACGTCAAATTAGATTTGTCCCTCTTGATGAAGCATTGGATGGTTCCGTCACGATTCCCCGGCTGTGAAGGAAAAAAAAAAAGCACAAATCAGGATTTGCTTTCATAAAACTAGTAAATAAATGCATAATCGTGTAAAACACAAGTAGCTAAGCAATATTATTTGTACTATCAAATGATTTTAGATTAGACAGAAATTTTCTAGAAAATAATGCAAAATACCAAAGCATGACAAGGGGTGCAAAGTCACCTGCTTCAAGGAAACTGGAAAAGTAAGCTTCCCACAGATTTCTGGACCAGTGACAATTTCCTTGCACATGATCCTCCATGACTTGCAAACAGCAGCACAAGCAACCACGTGCTTCCGAGCAGGCCATGTGCTCTCACTCTCTTCCAATCTTTTAATCACATCGTATAGTAGCTCTGGTGGGAGATTAGCCCAATGACTATTCTGAGTTACCACAGGCTGGTTATTTAAATCATAAAACGAACCGTGTGATTTTCCCCTATGATGACCAAGCAGCCTTACATCAAAACTACGCCGGGATAAACTCCCAAAACTATCTCGTATATCCCGAGCTATGCTGCGGAATGACATCAAACCTCAATCTGGTAAACCAGAACCAAGATGTATGAATGTTTATCACTCACTTTCCTGATCCTTGGTAGTATTTCAAGAGTTGTTGCCCAATAATTAAATCCCAATTGACATCTATTTCTGTCCTCAAAAAAGCAAAAGTAAAATAATTTTCAGAGACAAAAATATATAGCCAAGAAGAAAAGATAAAATGGGTATGTAAGAAAGAGGTCGATTGAGAAGTTTAGTCCTTGTTTGATCCCCATTTTGAGGGATAAAATGAATTTTTGAATAATATATTGATGGAAAATGTGTAGTTAAAAATAATGAAAAGTTTTGAATTTACATGTAATATTATTTTATTGAAGAACATGTAGTTGAATGATATCAAATTACTATTTAAGAGTATATTTTTTTTTTAAAGAATGAGATTCAAACAAGGGCTTAATAATTCAATTTTAACATATATTTTAATGGTCACTGAACTTTGCCCTATGTTACTACTTAATCACTGAATTTCGTCAAGTGTTACTACTTCATAACCGAACATTAAAATGTATCTCAATGGTTACCGAACTTTGCACCGTGTTATTCATCCGTCACTCAAGTTGACGTCATTTGTTGGACTTAACGGATTTTTCCATTTGAGTGACGAATGGGTAACACGGTGTAAAATTCGGTTACCATTGAGATACATCTTAAAGTTCGATTATGAAGTAGTAACACTTGATGAAATTCAGTGACCATCGAGTTACATTTTTAAGTTCAGTGACTAAGTAGTAACATAGAACAAAGTTTAGTGACCATTCATATAATTAACCCCAAGAAAAAATCCATTAGTACTTTCAACTGTTTTTTTGGTAAATCGTTCGAATAATAACAGTATATTTTATATTTTCCGCTACGCTACCTTAAGGGTAGTGAAGTTTTTGACGGAGGTCACATAATTTATTACTTCGTTTCATGTTGATCATTTAACTTTGATTTATTTCAATTTTATCATGTAATCTTAAATTTAATTTATTTTGATGATTAAACTCATATTTCTATTTTAATTTGACTATTCTAGGTTTTAAAGTTGAATTATACTCGGTTTAAACTTTGTGGTACAACAAGTTTGACAGTTAATCGAGAATGAATCTTTCAATTTGTATATGTCAGATAATGAATTAGTAACTTGTTGAACCCTAAAACTGGCGCTGATGGTTGTAGATACCTACTACACAATCTCGCAATGAGTGACCAACTAGCAATTCTCAAAAGAACGACTAGGAGAATGATTAGATAACAAGAAAGAAAGATTCTAGGTAATGTATTTGGGTTCAACCTGATGCCTCGTGAGTAAGAAGATTTCTTGAATGGTTGAATATATCAGATCAAAATACAAGAAATTATCAGATAAAAGAACAAATTTGGGTTCAACCTGATACCTCATGAGTAAGAAGATTTCTTCAATAATCTTTTTAAAACAAAATCAATGTCAAGCATGATGTACACTTGGAGCGTGTAAATGATATTTCCCTTTAAAGTTATCAAAGCGATGAAATTTATGGTTGTAATAAGTATATACATGTCATTTGTCATCATGCATTAGTCTTTAGAAATTATAACTTTTAAGTCCCTAAAATAATTGTACTTCCAAAAAATACGAGACATATTTTTAAATTCTTCTTCAATATTTTGGTAACAATTTATAGATAGAGTGGTCAAATAAAAATAAAAATATATGCTTAATGATTAAGCTCTAGTCAAAATCAACAATTAATTTTAACTAAGCATTTTAAGATACCGATAACTTTCAATCATACATTTCACCAACTTTTATTAAAATTCACTAAAAATATAATTTTAATCTTCACCAAATGGGGGGGCTAAATTAAAATAAATAAAAATTATATGATGAATTTGACCTATGAGTTGAGTTACCTCTTATGAAATTTTTCTTACAGCTGGGACAAAGGGCGTGTTTGCCTAGACTGAAAAAGGAAAAGACGAAAAGGGAAGTAAAGATGGAAGGTAAAATAATCTTTAGTTCTTTATTTGGAAAGAATATGTCAGAGATGAAAAAAGTGGAAAGTAAATCTAATATTATAAAATTTTAACCGTTTAGCAAAATATTTTCCATCTATAATTAGAGATAATGAAAAGTAAATTAATCTCTCTCTCTCTCTTCTTCCTCTTTTTTAATTTTTTAATTTTTTAATTTTTTTTTAATTTTATCAACTATGTTCTATAAATGTTTGGTCATGCCTCAATTTAAGAAAGGAAAATTCTAGACAACATAATAAAATCTTATTAATCATATTTTAATTTTTTTTTACGTGTTTTATATTTTTGAATTATATTACATCATTGGTTTTAGTAAAAATAAATACTATAAATATTTAAAATTTAAAATTTCATAAAAATGTTACATGTTTTGCAAATAGGTAGAAAAATAATTAACAAATCAACAAATTCATCTTTTAATTTAATTAAGCTAATTAAGAATTCATTAAATATTTGATACCTCTCCATTTAGTAGTATTTTCTCCAATTTCTAATTTTTTTTATACTCTTAACATTTATACTATACTAATTACTTGCTAAAAATCAAAATTTTAGAGGGTGTCTGAGACTTATTTTCATATAAAAATGCATTTTAGAATAGTAAAATGGTGGGAAATATGTGGTTTAAAAATGAGGAAATTTTTTTGATTTATGTATAATATTATTTTAATAAAGAATATGTGATTAAAAAGAAGAGAGAGAAAAATACATTTTGAAAAAAATGGATACCAAACGGGGCTTAAGGCCAATGAAATAGGTGGTTGAGAAATCAAAAAATTTGCGATTCCCACAAACGATTTGATTAAAATTAATTATTTACTCTGACTTAAATTTTTATAATTTTTTAAATTAATTCAAACAGGGGTTTATGTTTAGAAAACTAAAAACTTAATTAATATTGTCATAACAGTACACACTGCAATAAAGCTGGCAGCAAATGTTTAAAATTTTAAATTCTTTTTAGTTTATTTTTACAGTAAATATTCTACAGCAAACGTTTTTCATTTTTTAAAATAAATAAATTTTCGCGAATATGATTAAGATAAAGCCACTATTTACAAAAAGATGATGATGATGATGATGATGATGTTTAAAAAACTAAAAACTTAATTAATATTGTCATAACAGTACACACTGCAATAAAGCTGGCAGCAAATGTTTAAAATTTTAAATTCTTTTTAGTTTATTTTTACAGTAAATATTCTACAGCAAACGTTTTTCATTTTTTAAAATAAATAAATTTTCGCGAATATGATTAAGATAAAGCCACTATTTACAAAAAGATGATGATGATGATGATGATGATAATAATAATAATAATAATAATTTCTTTAAATATACACTATTTTTAATAATAATAATAATAATAATAATTTCTTTAAATATACACTATTTTTAATTTTTTGTTTTTAGCTGAATCAAAAGTATGAAAAAGAAAAATAAGCAAACAAAATATAGTTTTATATTTAGCCTAAGCGCTAAATGCTAATATCAGAAATTTCTATAACTTGAAAAAATAAGATGCATCTCTTTACAGGTGTCATAGATTTTGGGAGACATCGCTGCAATTTACCATTCTGATAATATCTTTCTTTCCACGTTCAATTCAAACTCCTATGTTGGCCACTCTCTTCGTCGAACCCCTCCTAACCTTTTCGTTCATAAGAGAATTATCTGTATTGCCTTTCGAACATAACAATGGAGTAAGGAATCGAAATAGGCTGATGGCAGGAGATGAAATACAAAAGAAATATGGTAAGATTAGTGTTACGTGTTGACACGCTTGATCGATTCATTGAGACCCATGGCCCACTCATACCGAACCACGTGACATCCCAGTCGAGGCCCCTAAGCCAACAGAAATCAATCAACATACGGAAGCAACATCCATGATGTGGCCCAAATGTTGACGCTGAAGTGCATAGGCCGAGGTGGTTTGTCTTGCCGAGACCCTTCACGCCTAGGCCCATTATACCGAGGCCCAAACGCTCTAAGGAGCACTCCTTCCCAAAGATCCAGTCTTACACAAGAATTCTTCCTGATTGATTGATAGAATACCGATCGTAGAGTGCAAGTGTCTTGTCTTGTCAAAGTAGAGACGGCTCCGTCAATTAATAAATGCGTAGCAGGCTAAGTAGTCAAATGTGATGTTTATAATTTGACATGTAAACTTATGAGATGAGACAACGTGTATTTTCAACTGAGGGCTACGATATAACTTGTAATACTATCAATACTCCTCCTCATATTTCTGACGAGGATAATGCAATATTCAATACAAGAACCAAGATTTCACATTTTTTAATCTCTTAATACACTTTATTCAACAATCTCTTTACCATCTTGCAATACAAGACAACCCGAATTCATACGCACATTCTATAAATATCGATTGGTAATTATTATACAATCGTTATGCAAACTTCTCGTCGGATTCTAAACGTTCTCGTCTCACGCTTTTGAGCTCTCTCACGCCCTTGATTTGTCCATTTTAGACCATCCATGTGTCTTAGTGTGCTGGATTAGATTTGTGTGTGCGCAGGCTGGTCCGGTATCCGTTGACAACATTTTTTGGGGTCAACAATTAACATCTCTTTAGAGATAAAAATTGAACAATTGAAATTATAAAAATAGTGTATTATCACCACTATTTTTTTATACACTACATTATATACCCACACCACTTTTTTAATTATCGCATTAGAATCCTTTTGCAAATATTGTCCTATTTTCACTAAAAATAAAATAAACGATACCAAATAATCTTTTTTCTCAAGCACATCTACATTTTCTCTCACTATTTTATTGTGTAACTCTACTAATTGAATCTATTTACTAAGGTTGGACATGATTTAGTTCGATTCGATTTGATTCTAAAGAGAATCGAATAGAATCCGAATTTTCAAATGTTTAGTAAGTGAAACCATCGGGTTCAAATTGAGTTATGGAACTGTTCGAGTTCTGTTTGGTTCCTAGGTTTCATATAGTAATTAATTTTTTAATAGTTAGAACAATGTTGTATTAATTCAACTAATGATATTTTCAATCTTAATTTTAACAAAATAATATAGTCCAATCTTATGTATTTTTTTGTCTCTCATTATAGAGTTCTTCATAAATTTAATCGATAA